ATTCTTTTAAAAAAATAAGTAAAATAAAAATAAAAAGTGCTTCATAAACAATGTGTTCTTCTTCAAACATTTATACATGCATATGATTTCTCTCACTATAGGGGGAAACTGGACCTTATGGACAAAAAGGAGAACCTGGCATGACTGGAGATCCTGGTCTTCCTGGAGAGTTTGGAATGAAAGGAGAGAAAGGGTTGCCTGGTGCTCCAGGAAGTAGAGTGAGTGTGTTATATATTCATTGTTATATGCATAGAAGTATGTATTTCAGTAGCCTTGAAACTGTGCAGATATTGATTAGGTTGGTGGTAAATAAAATTGTGTACCATATTTCATAATTAATTAATTAATTTCTCATATAATTATGCACTCTTGTTGTTTGTTATTGGTGGACAGGGTGCTAACAACTCCTCACGATAAAATATCAACATGTTATAAAGTACAAAACGAACACAAATTATCTGAGTAGTTTCAGATATTTATTTAACAAAAACTATACAGAAATGAAACTTGCATCATTAGAAGGGGAAGTTCAGAAAGTTTTGTAACATGTTGGAGAAGTGAAGTAGCTCCAGTGATGGCTGTTCCCTTTTGTAATGCCTGACAATGAATATGTTAATATGTTTTAACGAAACCTTGAAGTATGAAGTGTGTATTCTTTTTTTGATTTATTAGCATAATTAATTCCTGTGTAGTAGAAATTGTAATGATTATTTTCCATTTTGAGGCACTGAATTACACATGTTCTGTTACATTTCAAGCGTTACAATGGATGGTCCATGGCATGTAGGTGATAGAATATGTAAGGTATGAAGAAGTAATTGTCTCTGTAGTAGATGTGTTTGAATGTAGCATTTTCAACAACAGTTGTTACATGTGAAGAGACACTCTGTCTAATGATGCTGATTTATGATCCTGGTTTAATGTAGTTCAGAACTCATGGTATTTTTAAACCATCCTATTTTCTATTTTCCTTTTCTGAAGAAAACAGATTAGTCACTCGGTTATGAAATTCAGTACTTCCTGCTAGCAACATCTGATTTCCTTTTGATAAAGTTTTGTTTGTCCTTTCAGTATCTATATATAGCCATCACAGTACAAACACAGGCCCTATGTCCTGGTGTTAGTGTACAGAGATTTCTTAGTGTATCTTCTATTTAAGGAAATTTGACTCTCAATGACAATTATCAGTTGGAACAAAAATGCTACAAAGAATATCATGATTAATTTATCTCCATTTCTACTCAGCATATAACAGTAAACACTCATGAAAAAGAAGTATTACTTGTTTGCTACTTCATCTATGAGGTACATACAATAAACTGCTTGCAGTTCTGCAATTCATTGTTTCTGTATGCATGCATTCAAAACATTTTTCTTTTGATGTAGGGTCGTGATGGTTTCCCAGGACCTCCTGGACCTATAGGGCAGAAGGGTGATCGAGGATATGATGGGCTTGATGGCTTAAGTGGAAGGCCTGGATTGAAAGGAGAGCCAGGACTTGATGGTCTGTCTGGACCACCTGGATTACGCGGACCACCTGGACCTCCAGGAGTAAGTATTCATTCATAATGGCAAAGTGCTGTAAACTACAGAAAATGTTTTGTAGTTTGAAATACTTGTACATATCATAATGTGTCCTATATCTGCTTTAAATTATGCCATAATATTTATATCTTATAGGTATATCACTTTTTTCTCCTTGGTAATTGATGGCCTGGTAATTTAGGAATCTAATATTCCACTTGTTCATAATAATGTTGTTTAGTATACTTGTGTAAAGGTCAACTTCGTACTAAATTTGTTAAAAATGTTTTATTAGCATATGTGGAGAAACAAGGACTACTGAATGTTTCAGTAGGAAGTAAATTTGCATTCTATTGTGAAAGTAGGTAACCAGGAGTAATATGAAACATCATTGCTTGACAGTCCTTCTCAAACTATGTTCTGCAGATCTCAGATTATAATTTTAATTCTTTGAATATATAATTATTTTCATATGACTCACATTTGTAAAAGAAATGCATAATATAAATGACATATCTGCCCCATTTGTCCAAATGTTTATTCTCTAAAATTTCTTAATTAATTTTGATGACATTTGATATTAGGGGTCTGTTTCATTGCTTTAAATTTTTTGTTTTTGTTTTAGTCCAGTATAAGTCCAGCCTGAACAGTAAACTCCAATAAAACTGTTGATTTTATTAAAACAACTCATTGTTCAAGAAATAGTGTAAAATATAATCTCATTACATCCACAACTTATATCTGAAACATTCTGATAGTATGAATATTTAATGAAACACAAGAATTAATAATGTCTGACCCCTGTAAAAGTAAAGCTGTCCTGCTACACGCCATAGAGGCACTTGGTGGGGGTACAACTCTTAATTATTCTTAACCTTAGCACTAGATGGGGTGAGTGGTTAGCATCATGCCCCAGCCATGCTCTACCCCTGGGAAAAAACTCCCTGGTACCTACTGGATAGGAGGCTGGGTGGGCCTCAGAGCTAGTCTCGATGCAGAGGCTTGAAGAAAAATCTTTTGTTCTTCCTGTTTTTCTTAGGATTTGTTCTCAGCTGACTTAATGGAAAATAATTGCTGATATTTTCAAATGATTTTAACTGAAGATGTGACTTTTTACATTAGGGTGGGAAGGGAAGACCTGGTCTTCCAGGGCCACCAGGCCCAAGAGGATTTCCTGGACCTACAGGACCCAAAGGTTTAGATGGATATCCAGGAGAATCAGGACCTCGAGGACCTCCTGGAAATCTAGGAGGACCAGGGTTGCCAGGAACACCTGGGACAGAAGGCTTACCTGGTGATAAGGGGGGTAAAGGGGAGCCAGGTCTGCCAGGTAAGATGATTGGTGTTTTAGGTATCTTGAGGATTCAGCATCATTAGAGTTGAAATTGCAATGTGTCAGTTATCTTCATCACATCAAAATATTCTGTGCAGTCACCTTGTTATATTTAGTTTTCTTGTAATATTGTAGGTTTTCCTGGGGATACTGGTCCTAGAGGCTTTGCTGGGCCACCAGGTCCACCAGGACCCCGTGGATTTTCAGGCGAGAAGGGCCTGTCTATAGTTGTGAGTATTTTTTAAACCCATATTAGTACCATACATTTTTCTTAATAATGTAGTTACCTTGTTAGACTGAGAAACTGTAAAGTAAATTATTGATGCAATGTCTAGTGTCATTTTAGGTTATCTTCTCTGTTATAATGACAGTATATGAATAATGAAGTTCTTGTGGGAAAATGGATGATTCAAGAGAAATTTGATTTGGTAGTATTTTATTAAATTCTTGGATTGGTCATTCTTTAAATCATGTATACCTGGTCTCTTGAATGATAAGGCTTTGAGGTATTATGTACAATATATAAACATGATGACATTCATATATAAGATTCACTTTTGCTTCTAGCCTAGCAGAAAAAGGACACATTTATAGTTGATAACTATCTGAAATTTTAGAGTCTATGTGGAAAGATGTTTTTTATATAATTCAATTATACTATATAAGGATACATTTTAAGAGAAGATACCCTATGTGTTGTAAAATAATTATTTTACATTAAATTACAGAACAAGTTTAAAGTTTTTGCTACTTGTACCATGATATTTCTTTGTGTAATAAGATGTTTTATCAATGTAGAATTAAGAAAACATCCCCTATAATTAAATTATAGAATAGCTAACATGTTGTAAGTTTTATAATTCAAAATATTGACATGCATGTGTATGTTAAAGTATATTCACACAGTGCTACATATTTCAGTGTACAAATTACTTTGGGACATATTTTATCAGTGAAAGGTTATCCTGATCATTTAATTCAAATGACAAGGGAGACATATAAAGACATGGTCATCAGGACTGACAGAGGGGAATTGATAAGCTTTACACAGTGCATAAGACAGATATACCACTACCACCATGCTTTTAACAAAAGAAGGTAATTAAGTGGCTACTCAACAGAATATCAAATTATAACATAGAAATGTCAGCTGAGAAAATTAAAAGCATTGTCTTTTGTGGCAAACTTCAGACAAAATCAAAGATTAGGATAAATGATAAAACTTTCAGAACTTCATTTATTAAGGTTGTGGTATATATCTCATAATTGTGGCTGACCTGACAGAGATCCATAAATTTCAGAGCATGTATATGGTATAATAAGGTGTACATTAAAAAATAAAACTATGGAATGATATAACACTTTAATATCACAGTGTGATCGCAGCACCTGTACTTATGCATGGTTCTAAGAATTGGGTCATTATTAGAGCAGACAATAATAACAGCAGTATGTGTCTGGTCAAACCTTCAAAGATTAAGTACAGTACAACTATTCAGCTGCCCTTAGGCATTATTTTTGTGAATGAAGAAATTTGTGAATACAGACTTTATGGGCATAAATACAGTATGATTATTTCAGCGGTATGTTATCAGACTTCCCTACCTTCAATGGCCTCAACTGACTCAGGATTACTTCGGAGGTCATGGATTCCTATTCGAAAGTTGTTCTCTCTGAGTCCCTCTATACACTCCTTCAGTTTGGCCCTAACATTTTGAATCACTCTGTATATTTGATTCATAGAACCAAGACGAACTGGACCTACAAATCCAAAGGAATCTGAGATGTTCGAGGACCAAGAAGATGCTGGAAAGACTCCTGATGAGACAGATAAGGCCATCTGTTGTCTATCTTGAAGATGATGCTTACCTTCTCTCTGTGCATCTCTTCTTTTTAAGGGACCAAAAGGAATGGATGGTGCTCCTGGGCGAGATGGTGTAAAAGGTCTGAAAGGAGAAAGAGGATATCCTGGACCTCGAGGAATTCCTGGAGATTCTCAACAAGGGATTGCTGGTCCTCCAGGATTAATTGGACTCCCTGGAGAAAAGGGCAGGGATGGAAGACCAGGCACACCTGGGTATCCAGGTACAGAAATGTTTGTAGACTGAATTTTTAGTTCCTCACAAACACATTATTTACACAATTGTAGTTATTTTTAGTATATAATATATAATATGTTACTCAGATACTAGAGAAAAAATGGGATTTCTTCTGAATGGAATTATAAATGAATGTAAACACTACTTAGGAAACTCTAAATATGAACGTGACAGCTTTAATTTTTGTACCTGCCTGATCAACATTATTGTAATGGTAATGAAGAATGGGAAGTCAAGAGTAATGAGTAAGAGTTGAAATAAATTTCATGAGGCACATTGTATGTTATACCCAAACCAGTCATAAAGGACAATGAGACATAATACCAAACGTTGTGGTTGTGTGGCTAGCACCATTTCTTTGTATTTGGGAGGTCCTATGTTCATATCTCGTTTTAGAGACCAGATATCCTGACTGAATTTTTCATGGTTTACCTCAATTCCTCTTTGTGTTGGTGATATTTGATCATCTTTTTGGAAGATGAGTAATGTTATCACAAGGACCGAAGTGTGTAAATATCTTTATTTTATAATTTTGATATAGCATCACGTCGTCCCGCGCTGTAGCCGTGCGGTCTGAGGCATCATGCTTCGGACTGGCGATACGGAATGCGCGCTGGTTTGAGTCTCAGGGGAGAAATTTTCTCATGAGGTTTCGACCAGTGTATGGGACTGGTGCCAACCCAGCATCGTGAGGAAATTGGGGAGCTACAATTGGTAGTGTAATCTGGTCATGAAAACTAGCAATGGCTGGGGGTTCATCGTGCTGACCACACATCACTTTGTATCTGGTTGGATGATCGTTCACCTCTGCTTAGGCATGTGAACGTGAGGCCAGCAGTCAAGCTAGTTGGCTTTGGCTCTCTGGAGCTGTTACGCCATGGATTTTTTATAGCATCACATCAGCAGAGTGAAACATTTGGTAAATTTAGTCTGTTTTCATTTTGTTTGCAGGTTCACCAGGTGACAAAGGTGAAATTGGAGGTCGTTGTCAGGACTGCCATCCAGGATCTCGGGGAGAGAAGGGTGACAGAGGTCTTGATGGAATTGCAGGTCAGCAAGGTCCACGTGGTCCTCCAGGAGAAAGAGGATATCCAGGAGAGGTTGGACAGGATGGAGTTCCAGGCCCATTTGGACCCCCTGGACGTCCTGTGAGTATATTTTCTTGTTCAGTAATAGTCATAGAGTGGTCTTGTCAACCACAAACCATGTGATAGACTACATGCAGCAGTAATGAAGATCACAAAACCTACAAAATTAAACAAGGAGTTTACAGTAAAGATCTTGTGGGCTGAATATTATTGAAGCAATAATAAATCGTTATGACTCCCACAGCCTGTCATTGTCCTTATTCATCCTTTTGGCTGGTTTTTCATTATTTTCTACATTGTGAATGTTTTGCAAAGAATATGGAAGGAAGTGATGACATCCTTTTAAGATACTACCCAAGTGTTTTCCTGGAATGACTAGGGAACACAAAAAAACTCTCCAATAAGATAGCCACCCTCGGGGTCCATATTTTAACTGGAGACCTCTCAGATATGAAGCAGAAGTGCTGATGTCTCTACCACAAAGTCGGTAAAATATTTTTGAAAATAGCGTTTGTAAATGTAGTCAAGAAATAATTAAATGATGAACTTAGTTTAATGTGACATGAGATACACAGCACAATTCAGCATACTATTTGAAATACTGAATCCAATTCCTGTATCCCTGTTACGCTTTCTCTGTAATGTGTTGCTTTCATTGTTGCAACATTATCATTACTGTGTTCTGTAATAGATGAAAGAGGTCATTATTATTTGAAATCAGAATTAAAGATCAACTCTTCAGTCTTCATTGTATTGATGTTGAAAGAAAGTTTTACCATGGTGGTAGCAGCTAAACTACTGGTTTTTAGATGTATTTAACCAAGTTCATAGGGCATAAAACATGTTTTACCTCATCAAAGGTCTTAGCAGTAAGCCTAACAAGTAACAGAGTACATTTCACATACAGTAGGACCAGTCTGCTTGTAATATTACATGCTCAGAAAATTATCCATTCATGCACATTTGTTACAGTCTTCATGGCTAGTCATTGTGATTAAAAACTTAAACTTACAGAAAAAACCTTGGCTGCTTGTATATTAAGAGTTAACCATAAAATACTTTGTAGGGTCAACCAGGTATTTTAGGCCCACCAGGTGCCCCTGGAGAGAAAGGAAACTCTGTTCTCGTCCCTGAGAATCATACAAATGGATCTAAAGGTGATAAGGGTGACAGAGGGGAACCAGGGCGTGAAGGCGTACCAGGACCAGTAGGACCAATTGGACAACGTGGGAAAGATGGTCTGCAAGGTTTCCCAGGTGCAAAGGGAGAACCCGTAAGTTGAAATACACTCTGACTCCATGGTACTATGTCTTCTTTGACCAGTTGATAGTTATTTATCTGGCTAAGGAATTCCTTGCTTCTGTAGAACCTATGACCATGAATTCCAGGAAATGGATGCTATCCTAGTCATTTAATCAGTACATTTCACATCCATGTTGTTTCAAGTATTTACATTTTAAATATAACAAATTAAAACTGGCATTTCATGATTGAGTTTTACCTAATACCCACTTTTGCTCTCCCAAAAAAAGGCACTTATCTCATTACAAACGTTAACCCTGAGTCATGCCTCATGGCTCGGAGTGGTCTATCCCCCCCCATCTCCATGATCTTTGGAGATGCAGGGTTTGGTGCCCTAAAGAGGCAGTGAGGCAGGAAGTCTGTGTGTGTCCGCCGAGCAGGGTACTTTGCTGGAGGGAGCCTGACTATGGAAGATCAGCTGGTTAATACTGTTTAAGGAAATAATTCCTGTTGATGCTGAGAATGATGCAAAATCCAGAAATACAAAATTCAGTGTTATTTCTTATTAAAGAAGGTGGCACATATAGTTACAACTTGGCTTTGAAGGGTTAAACAGATTCTGCACTATTGTATGTAAAAGAAAAGTCCTAGTACTAAGCACATTACATGTTAAATTCTTAAATTATAATGAAGCTGACTCAGTTTGCCTCAAATATCGAAATTGCCTCTAACTTTCTGCATTCCTAATTTTCTTTATTTAGGGTGAAAGAGGTTTCCCAGGCCAAGATGGTATTCCTGGTGAACCAGGCTATCCAGGGCCTAAAGGTGAAAAAGGACTCAGCATTAAAGGAGAATCAGGCATTCCAGGGAGAAGAGGAGAGAAAGGGGACAAGGGTCAACCTGGACTTTATGGTGTGAAAGGAGAGCCCGGTTTCTGTCCACCTCCACCTTTCAACCTTACTGCAGGTTTGAAGGGGGAGCAAGGAGCTCCAGGTGACAAAGGAGAACCAGGCCCACCTGGCAGGGATGGATATCTTGGAGACAGAGGGTTGCAGGGTTTACAGGTAAATTACAGTCAGCGACTTCTCTGAGACAAAGGCAGAGCTTTCTTGGGCTGGAAGTGAACAAAATGGGTTACAACTTTAATAACTGTATTACAACAATCACTGCTGTGACATTTTGTAATTGTTTATAATCCTTATGATTGTAACAGTTGATAATACTGTGTATCTGTTAGATACTCGTTTTGATCAGTTATTAAACAGAAAGGCATTTGAAGAGATTTAATAAAACAATTGCAACCCCTTTGTTATGGTTGTGGAGTTCTGATGCTTATGTATTGATAATATTTTAGGACTACATTGTATTGTATGGAATGTGAAGCATCTAAAAATTAGGAACTGCTGTTCAATTATTTTGAACAACCTACAAACAAATGTGGTTTGTGAGCACTTTATATTGGTATATAAAATTTTATGCAGGCATAAGTTACAGTGTCTGTTGTTTGATGTAGGGTGAACAAGGATCAGCTGGTCCACCAGGTGTGCCAGGACCTGTTGGTCCTCGAGGATTACCAGGTCCGCGAGGTGACAAAGGTGAGACTGGACCCATGGGGTTCCCAGGTGAACCAGGCAGAGATGGTAACAGAGGGCTACCAGGCTTAGCTTCAGCTAAAGGTTTGTATCTCTGTGTGTGTGCACATGCGTGCATGCGTATTTATTAGGTATGCTTATTGATAAGGAATTTCATATTTTTATATTGAAGACATTTATGTTGACAAACATTTTATCAACTCAGTTTTTTAAATTTAATCTTTTTTGTTCATTCTCTTACCATTTATTAAATTTTTATTATTTTACTGAGTACCATTCTAAAATTTTTGTATTTTACCACATAATTTTTAGTTTTGTCACAGCACAAGAAATTGATCACATCTGAAAGTAATCCATTTGTAAAATTTGAATTTTTTTTTAATCAAGTGAGCAAATACATTTTCTTTAAGTCTTTCTGGGGCAGGTGTTTAATATTTCACTAATGGTGCATAGTTTGGATTGTTTTACTTATGTTTGTAATATATATAATTTTCTATAGTATTTTTCAGCAGAATTGGTGGCTGAGTCAAGTTATACTCTTTGTGAGTGACCAATCAGCGCAAAGAAGGTCAGTTGGTAAGCAGGGAGACCTCAGTCTGTTCAGAAACGCCGTGGTAGAAGCATCGGCAGCTGTACTGCATTGTTGCCAATTCTTACATTTTCTTTGCGTAGTGTTGTAACCATTGGAATCCAGTGTTCTGCGATGCTACATCTGGCACCACTCTATGTTGTTTACTCACTATCTCGCCCCTCCACCTACCGCCACTACTTTCTACCATGGCACAGGGCATGTGATTGGCGCATGCTTCAGCTGCCAATTCGGCTGAAAACTGTTATAATAAATTAAAACAAAACAATATTCACATATGAGTCCTTTGTAACAGGTCTGAAAGGTGAACCAGGAATTTCTGCACCTGGGCCCCCAGGACCTCCTGGACCATATGGAGAAAAGGGAGAAAAAGGCCTGCCAGGTCCTTCTGGGAAATTTGGTATTCCTGGGAATCAAGGTAGGGATGACTGAATGGCCTGTTTAACCTTTATCATACTCTCATAGAGGATTATTTTGCTACTGGGGTTAATGGTTGAGTGGTATGATAGTGGAACGCATGACCAGATGGGTTGTACATGTACTTGTGATATATGGCCATTAAAGGTTAATGGGCTGATTAGTGGGTTTAAATTTTACTGAGCTGCACTGGTTATTTGCATTCTTTGCATGAAATGAACCCATGTAGGACTGGTTGTGTGTCTGTCCACATGCTGGATGGATTTTGATGAAATATGGTGAGACATTATACCAACGGATACCACCCCAAACTCTTGCTTTTCAATTTATTACAATCGGTAATATGAACATGGCAGATGCATGAACTTGTGAAGTGGGAAAGTGGGAGTAACACTAACACCACTTGATATGAGGTCATATAATGATATATGGCAATAGACCTTCAAAAATATTCAATCTATGTTTTAGTAATTCTTTATACAGTGCAAAACAACATGACAGCTGCATTGGATTTTATATGTATATGTATATATGACATATTATAGGCTGTGTATTACACATATTGAGTAATATGTATTATAGAAACAAAGTAAAGACCCTCTATTTGAAGCTATGCTGCTATCAATAATCAGTTTTCAGCAAACAATGCAATATGGAAGAAAGAAAACAATGTTTAAAGTGTATGTATTTTTAAAGATAATACTAGAAAGAATGCATATGGGATATTTTTACATCTATAATCTATTGATACAGTTATGTGGATGATACTATTGGTGACACTTGCATTGTATACACAATTTACTATAGTTTTCTAGAATAGTTACCAGAGGAAGGCTTTTGTGAATTATTATTATTATTATTGAGTGTTCTGTCTGACAACAGGTCCATTCTTCTGCCCAAAAAGAGTTTGCCAGTTTTCCCTATTCTCAGCTTCTCGTTTTAATTCCTGAAACTTCATCTTCTTTCCTTGTTTAAGGTCGTCAGTTAGCTGTATCAGTCTTCTTCCCAGTCCTCGCTTTCCTTCAACCTGGCCTTCGATGATATCACTCAGTAATCCATTCCTTCTCATAATATGTCCCAGCCAGTTAGCTTGCAGTAATGAATGTTTGGATTTGTAGGGGGCAGGTGGTTTCTTGACTAGATGAGCGACTGCCAGCTTTTCAAGATGGATGTTGCTCAATGGAGTGAGTGAGTTAGTATTTAGTTAGTTTGAGTGTTGTTTTTTCAGTTGGGTGGGTGGTTGATTGAGTGAAAGTGTTGTATTTGTGCTGGAGAACTGTGCAGGTAATCATAATTTTTTTTAAATGTTTCGATGATGATGTGAGATGATATTACTATTTGATAAAAATGTTATTACACTAAAGCATGTAGCAATGTGAACTCATTTACTTGTAATTTTCTGTCTTTGCTGAGTTGTAGCACAAAATTATATTGATACTAGATTTTACTTAACAGGATTGCCTGGATTCCCTGGTCCCAAAGGTGAACCTGGAAGGCCTGGTTTAGATGGTCTTCCAGGTCAAGTGGGATCTAAAGGTGATCGTGCCCCTATTGGACCACCAGGAATACCTGGAGTTTCTGGACAACCTGGTCATGATGGACGGAAAGGTATACAATAAATTGAAATGTAAATTTCAGGTTTTGTTTTTGGATATCTTAATCTTGCACTTGCACGCACACATACAGTGATTCAAAAGTCCATGTGCACCTGTAAGAACAAGTGTTTGTTATGGGAAGTGAGTCAGAAGTCCCTGTGCATGCATGTCCTAGATGGTGCACATGTTCTTTTAACAAACTGTGCTGTATGTTCATCATGAGAAATATATGTGTTATTGCAGGTGCATGAGAACTTTTAAATCAATCTGTGTTTATGTATTTTTTGAAGCCATGCCTCCTCTTTAACTTTACTCATTGCAAAATATAATTTTTAATAGTTTTTATGTAAACATTTGTAAGTTTTATCTTTAGTGTCATATTCAGGCCCCTTTACAGCTCAGTACATGTATATTGATTGTTAATGTTTTCCTCTTTTGCTCTTTAGCTAGTTCTATCCTGAAATTCACTGCCAGGAGTAGATTCAACCTGGCATGTTTACCATCATTCAGCACACATCTCTTATGTCTAAATTTTGTGATTTTTCCTCAAGTTCACTCTAAGGCCCTTTCTGTGGTATGACGCATATATGCTCATTTTACAGTGTTGGGTTATAAACTTTGAAAAGGGATTTGATGCTACTAAAAATAGCCTCAGGCACTGCTGTGTTTTTTTAAATACACACACCAGTCCCTAAGAACATGTTCTTCTTTGGTAGTCTGCTTTATAATAGGTGGGAAATGAAACAGTTCATAAGATGGATCCTAAAGGAATAGGATGTGAGGATGAGGACTCGATTCATCTGACTCAGAATAGGGTCCAGTGGCAAGTTCTTTTTAACACGATAATGAACCTTTGGTTTTTATGAAATGTGTTAGTTTTCTTGATTGGCTTTGATTATTTGTTAAGAAAATATACTGTAACCATGATAAACAGATATAACCTATAATGAGAACTTCAAAGCTTTCACAGAATACATAACTTTTTAAAAGAATTTTTGTAGAATTTAAAAATAACAACAGGGCAGCTTTGTGAAATTTATGTATTTAGCTTCATATTTTATAGCAAAAATTAATGAATAATTGTAGCTACTCATTTCATGTTTGATATTATGAAAATGGATCTTAATCTTAGTTTTCCATCTGTAGGGGAACCTGGTATAGTTGGTGAACCTGGACGTCCTGGCCTGCCTGGTTTCCCAGGAAGTAAGGGTGACAGAGGTGTACCTGGAGCTGATGGAGCTAAAGGATTTCCAGGACCCCGTGGAATGCCTGGTTTGTAATTTATTATGATTTACAATTGATTAACAAGAAAGTAGATTGTATTTAACTTTTTTATCTGTTATAAATTTTTGTATTTTTTAGCAGAAAAATTGTTCAAGGGAAATCAGTACAGAGGTCTCAGATAAATATGAACTTCTAATGAGAAGCTGAAGATAATTAGAATTAGTTATATTTTAGTATTTCTCCTAGTAGTGAAAGAAGGTTCAGTTGATTACATCTATGCCTTGCTTTTGCTAAGTACAAAATGTTGTATTCTTATGCTGTACTTGATACTGTTAGAGTACAATTTTGATATATTGTGCTGAAGAATAAAGGAAGAAACTTTTATTTCTAGGTGTCACTGGTACGCCTGGTCTTGATGGTTTCCCTGGTGAGAAAGGTGACAAAGGAGCCACTGGAATAAATGGTTTCCCAGGTGAATCTGGTCCTGATGGACCTCCAGGTCAACCTGGTTTCATTGGATCAAAAGGTGATATTGGATTACAAGGACCTCCAGGGTTGCCCGGGCCTGTTGGACTACTTGGTCCACAAGGCGAACCAGGTCTTCCAGGATTGCCGGTATGGATCTGCTATCTTTGCACATGTTACTGCATTCTGTTCTGCATTAGGAATATTGTGTACCATTGTATTTATTCTTTTAATGAGTCAGTTGGTAGAATTATGCAGTGAACCACAGTGATCTCTTAAGCTTCAATACCATTGCTGCAAGAACTACTAAAATTGCATATTTATTTTGTGTGATGATCAGTTTTTTATGCACATAAGATATGAAACAACCTTCTAATGGATTTTATTTTCACTTCTATTTACCTGCCAAACAGTCATTATCAAGGCTTTTATTGTATATGTATGCCACTGTAAATTATAAAATTAAAGAGGCATATATAACATTTTTAACATTGATGGCTGTAATAAAATACACTTAAAAGGGTTTAATTATTGATAGAGTTTATCATTGTTATTTGGTTAAAATTTTTGTATACACAATAAACATTTATGATGTATCTTATTTGATTTAGTTTTGATTATATACATTAAGCCCTTGAATATTGTAATTAAATCGAATATAATAGGGCATGAATTTATATTTGGCTTCTAATTTCTAATTTAACTCTGTTTTCAGGGCAAGAAAGGGGATGCTGGTCTTGTTTCTGAAAAAGGTCAGAAGGGAGAGCCAGGTTTACCAGGACTTAGGGGACCTGAAGGCTTCCGGGGTACTGATGGAAGACCTGGCTCAAAGGGAGAACCTGGGTTGCCAGGTATTGGCCGACAAGGACTTCCTGGCACGAAAGGGGAATCAGGTATTCCAGGGGAATCTGGAATTCCGGGAATACCAGGGCAGAAAGGTGTTTCAGGTGTACCAGGATTTCCAGGACTTAAGGGAGACACAGTAAGATTCTCTTTATTTCGTTAAAAGTCTGTTGTATGATCATTATTTTGTAATTTTCAGTGATGTGTGAATGATCAATCAGTTTATTTTCATCTTTTCCCTGGCCGTGAAATAATATAGTCAGTGAGGTTACAGATGTTGTGATCTGATCTAGCTGATGCATCGAGGCTGGTTCTCCATTGCATGTAATTCTTCTATAGACTCTGTGTTAAGAGACAACACTATCATGAAAAATGTTTGATTATGTTTGGATACAGAGGTCTCTGTAGAGTTATAGTTTCACATAACAGTATTTGTAGAATGAGATGTGACATTAAGATATTTCAACAGAAATTTAATTATGTTGAATAGCACTGCACTTTTAATGTACAAATAATGTACCAACTATGCCCCTTACATTTGGGCTCTGTAGTTCATGACTGTCATTTTCTAGTGATCTAAAAATTCTTACAAATGCATTTGGAAGAAATTATACTTCCTGTACTTAAATACTCTGTAGTAATTCCATCTGTATTCAGCTCCCATGGCTGTTATCTTCACCACATTTTGGAAGTAGATAATGTTCATCTACCTGTGATACTATGCTTATGGTGGTAAATCATAGATTGCTATCACAGCTTGAGTAAAATATTATCTTGGAATATGACTAATTATATCATTCGTAGTAGCATTCCTTCTGTCACAATCTGTTTATTACTTCTGCTACATTAAATACCACAAAACAGGCATTCACTTGCAGCTTAAGTAACTTGGATAGCCTTAAAATGAGTGATCAGAAAGTAACATGAATGAAGTTGTCTGTATTTAAGACCAGATTTTCCTTTCCTTCAACTCAAAATGTCACTCCCTGTCACATGCATTAAGCATCATTATATTCTTGTCACAAATCTTCAGAATTTTGGTGCACATGCTAGCCACACTTTCATTAGAAATCCATCATTGCTAAAATTCTTTTATTATACTTTTTGTCAGTTCTAATACATACTTATTATCCCTTTTACATATGCAGTGAAAGATCTGAGAAAGAATTTTGTGATTCTTACTAACCTCTACAGGTTTCTTCAGGATCTTTATGTGCTAATTCAACAGGGTCCACCAGGGCCAGCTGGAAACCCAGGGCTACCAGGATTAGATGGATTGCCAGGTCTGAAAGGAGAATCTGGTTTTCATGGTCCTCCAGGCCCATCCGGGCTAAAGGGAGACAAAGGCTTTCCAGGACGTGATGGATTGGATGGTCTGAAGGGTGACACTGGACAACCAGGTTGGTTTATCACAATTGTGTATACAGTAGGGATGAATACTGATATCCCACCACAGCAAAGTGTGCATGTCTGTACCCTTTAGTCACCACTGTATGGTAAGGGTAAGTTATTTATGTGCCCAAGTGTGTGCTCCTGAAAGTAATGTTGTATTTGAATAAAGTTTTATATATTCTTAACCTTGGCACCAGTGTAGGTGGATTTCATGCTTTACCTGCAGGAAAGAACTCCTGGTAATCACTTGAGAGCAGGTTAGGTGGGTCTTTGCACCATTCTGGAGTGGTGATAAAGAGAAACTGACTTTCTTGCTGGAAATCAAACCTCAGCTGTTCATTCCATTATTCATAATTGTATTGACTGAGCTGTCATGGTTCTGCAATCTGCATGAAAATGAGTACTATTCAAAAGCATAAAATCAGAAAAATTTTAATGTGTCAGGACAGATTTGCCTCATTCCAAAGGTGCTGTGCTGTAGTAGATCAAATTATAAGTGGCTCCTTGTGAATTTTTATCAGTGGAAAGTCCTAGAAGCTGTGTTAATGCTATTTATTTTTTAACATGGTGTAGTGTGACCATCATACAATGATAGATGATTTTATGGAAACCATGAATTTTTCTTGATATTGTCAGATGAACTTCTTATAAAGTTTGTTTTTAAATTATTTGTTTATAGTCAGATTATCTTGTTCCAACTAGTATGCTTTGTTATAGAAATACCTTACTAATCTAGTATTTTGTCATTGATAAAATTTCACATGGGACTGTCTTGCTATCTGTTTATTATTACTACATTAATTATTCAGTCATTGTGTGAGAAATGTATTGTTATGGCTGTCATGAAAGGAATTATTCTGCCTTATTTAATAAAAAGTTTTTCTTTTCAGAATTTTAGAAACAAATGGGAAGAGAATGTTGCCGATATAAATTGAGTTTTAAAAGTAAAGTAAATAATTTTTTTGGTACAAATGAAAATTGCAATTTTTCCCCTAATTTTCTTTATTGTGGGTGTATTTGGTTACCACACAGCTGTCTGACACATTTTCCCTCATAAACAGTCACAGGGTTCTCCATTATATCCTCTGTACATCTTCTCTATGTGAAGCTTATATGATGCTTATGCATGGATGTGTGATCATATTAATGATGTGTAATTATGTTTCAGGGCTTCTAGGACCTGCGGGCTTCCCTGGGATACAAGGTAGCAGAGGAGACCGTGGTCCACCTGGACCCATGGTTGATGTGAAAGGAGATAAGGGAGAACCAGGACAGCCAGGATTGCAGGGTTTTCCAGGAGAAAAAGGAGATGCAGGGTTTCCTGGAAGAGATGGTCCTCCAGGATTAAGTGGTCAGAAAGGACTTCCTGGTCAAAGAGGACCCCCTGGAGCAATGGGAACTCCTGGATTTAAAGGTTAGTGTGGTACAGAACATAGTTTTATGAACTAACTAATATACATGTAAGTGTGTAATAATAATGGAGGCAGGAAGCACCTCTGAAGCGTCTGTAAACTTCTACCAGACTACAGCCATCTTTATACTTGCTGCCTTGAAAATTCAGTATCTCACTGGGTAAAAAATGTGCCATATAAACCATATTAATTTTTGTTCGTAAAACATCGAGTAACCTCTGTTAATAATGTGAAAATTCTGCAATCTGTTGTTAAGGTGAACCTGGACCTGCTGGACCTGTTGGTGCCCCAGGACTAACGGTTAAAGGAGAAAAAGGCTTGCCAGGATTAATGGGTAAAAATGGAAGAGAAGGTCCATCAGGAATTTCAGGCCAGAAGGGTAAGTCAGAGAAATAGCTACAAGGGGTCAGTCAAGTCAAGTGGGTAGGAGGAAGTGGCATTTTAAAGTGAGTTACTCTTAGAATATTTCAGTCTAGATGGAGGTTCTCATTTCTTAATTTTTCACAGTTTTTGGACCAATAAAGTTTGGGAACTCCTCATTGAAGAAATTCATGATATGATTGTCCCCCCCCCCCATATAATTTAATCAGATATAAGGAACAGTTTTGAAACTTGTGCATAGAATAAAATGGTCAGAGATGCCTGTTAAAATATTCACTAACTAGGCATATTTGTTAATGAATGTATTGAAAACAATAGTATACTTGATATTTTGTTTCTCATAAGCTACCAGTTATACACCATTACTTCAAGGAATTCTTTTTTATATGCAGGTGAACCTGGCTTGACAGGATTGCCAGGTCAACAAGGCAGTGCAGGGTTGCCTGGTCCTGTAGGTCCTTCTGGAGAAAGGGGTGACCAGGGTTTTCCTGGAATACCAGGTCCCCCTGGGTTTGATGGTCCACGAGGTTTGCCAGGTCTTCCTGGAGCAGTAGGTCTGCCAGGACCCAAGGGAGATAATGGACCCCCTGGATTATATGGAGCACCAGGAGAAAAAGGAAACCAAGGGCTTTCAGGTGTGTGAAATCATAAGTAGAATAATTGTGACACTTCCAAACAAAGACTGCTGTTGACTGTTATTAAGTGTCATTCTTACAGTGTTAAGGGGAGTCTCATAATTGTGCATTTCTTGTTTCATCTGACAATGATCTATTAATTTCCATCATAATGCATTGCACACAATTATTTTGTTGGATCATAACATTGGAATGGTTAAAAATATAACCTGTTATAAATAGAAAAAATAAAGTTTATTTGTTAGTCACAATACAAATTTCAGTACTTTACTTTCTTACACCATTTTTAAAAACCATGGCAATCTGTAAATTACTAGATGTGGATTTCTCATTCCTTTTTGATGATTAATTTTCAATAGTGTTTTTTAGAGTATTTGCTTTATGACATTTAGTCCGGAGTAGTGATTTTCAAATGTGGATGCACTTTTTGTTTTATTGCATATCACAAAACCACTGGAAGCAACCAGATGTAAGGGGTAATCAAGTTTCTTTCAAATCTTGAAATTTCTTTTCCTGCATATTCTTAGTAAACTCAAATATAATTACTTGCTACATATCCAGTTATTTATGATATGAAGCACTGACATTAAAGTGTCATTTAAAGTAGGATACCACCACAGGAAATATTTTTCCTTGTTCTTGGAATTGCTGCAGACTTTTGTTGGAGACTCGCTAGTGTAAGAACAATATTAATAGACATTTTAAAAATATGATAGGTCCTCCTGGTTTACCTGGACATCCTGGACCAAAGGGAGATCGTGGTTTTGATGGATCACCTGGATTACCTGGACCTGCTGGACAAAGAGGAGAACCAGGCTTTGCAGGACTTGCAGGCCTGGATGGTTCACCAGGTTTAGCAGGATTAAAAGGAGAAAAGGGGGAACCAGCACTGACTTCACCTCCAGGACAAAAAGGAGAAAGGGGACCAATAGGTGAGTGTACTCTGCTCAGAAATTGAGATGCCATGTCAAAACAGCAAATCTGAATCATACTTCTGAAGATAACGTTTATAACATAGATTTTAATTTTTGAAATTTTGTGTTGTGTTAATATTATTCTAGGCAAAGATTTACCACAGTGCCATAGAGAACATAATGTACTTCTGGCTTAAATTATAATTTTTTATGGATGGAGTTATGTTTATTATTTGTATGATTTAAAATGTTATATCAAGCACCAGTAATGAAGTAAAATGCCCATTATCCTTTGTGATTTATTTTATAATATTTACAATTACAAACATAGACAGTTGGGTTTAATAATGGGAATTCTTTCTGTTTTTCTTTAACCTATTAAATACCTGTGGTCTATATACTGGCCACTGTATGTGAAGTTCATGGATGCATATGCCCAGTTAAGTGGCTGCAAGCTTAGGCATTCCTTACTAGAACTTGGTCTAGCTGAGTTGTACATTGGTGATTTAAAAGGGTACAGTAACGATTAATTTTATAGCATATTGTATATTTAACCATTTATTTTGAAATTCTTTTATGGAAGTTGAAAATTCTTCAGAAGAAAATGAGCACATGTGCAACATAACAATTCAATGAGGTAGGAAAAGATAAACCTGAATAATAAATCTGTAAACATAAACAGTAATTCATTCTCTCCAATGCCTGCTGAAGTTCTTATTTTTAATATAATATACACATTTATAAATCTTATAATACAAATTGCATGCTACTTGCTTGGATCAGTTTTCCATCTAATTCAAATGATATCTGAAGAATTAGGCTTTTGTTTTCATCAACAGTTTTAAAATTCAGTCCTGGGACTGATGGCTACTTAACATTTAATTTTATAAAAATATATTCAGAAGATACTAAATTGGTCTGTTTGTTAGTTGATTAGTTAATTATTATCCCATATTCTTTTGTTATTTTGTATAAGTTATGTTTAACATTAATTATTTTGAATATGTACATCTTTGATTGCAGGAATTCCAGGTAGGCCAGGTGAACGGGGTCTTCCAGGACTAGATGGTGCTCCAGGTATTCCAGGAATTAAAGGGGAAAAGGGCAGGCCAGGGCGAGATGGTCTGCCTGGACCAAATGGATTACCAGGTCCTAGAGGAGAGATGGGCCTGGATGGAATAATTGGAAGTGAGGTTTGTAGAACAATATACAGTAGCATGTAACTGCAGTGAGACCTGGAGTAATAGTTGCCAATAAATTAGATGTGGTAAAATGTTTTTTAACATTTAAAATAACTTTATATGCTGTGTGCAATAAAAATATCCCTCCATGATTGCTCAGATTATTCTTATCTTCTTATTCTTCACTATTTTTCAGGGTAGAAATATTGCAACAGTTGTCTGAGACCAATTGTGTTTTGCTTAAATGAAATGTCAGAGTGACATTTTTTCCAGGGACCTCATGGTGAGCCAGGACCAAAGGGAGAACCTGGTATTCCTTGTGAAGATCAGCCTGACTATTTGACAGGAATACTGCTTGTCAAACACAGTCAGACAATAGAAGTGCCACGATGTGAACCAGGACACGTAAAACTATGGGATGGTTACAGTCTTCTGTATATAGAAGGCAATGAAAAGGCCCATCACCAAGACTTAGGTATTCAAATTTGTCTTTCTACATTACAGTGGTATCTTATTATTTATAAAAAATACAAACTTGCATGGGGTCTATCTTAGGATAGTGTCTGGCTCTTGGAAGTTGGTTTCTGTGGGGTTTCTTTACAGTCTTATGTAACAAAAGGTAAAGTTGTGAATCATGTGCTACAAAAGAACGTTTTTATAACATATTAGAAGCGGGTTACAGCAATGTATTGCCTGTTGTTTTTTTAATAGTAAATTATTTTTTGAATAAAATAATAAATAGCAAGTCAGTAATGGTGGAATCAGTTACATTGTATGTTATAGTGTCATAAATGCCAAAAAATACATATATTCTTCTGGATATAAACTTACAGAAACATTAAATTGTGTAGCATCTTAGGTACACCACATTAAGTCAGTTGAATACAAAAATGTTACAAGTGTTTGCCATTTATTATTATTATTATTATTATTATGACTACTTTCTGAAATTCACCTTTCACTTTCTTGGAGAAAATTCTACCATTAGATAATTGTAATGTAAATTTCAGGGTATTAACACTGAACTCTTATGCTTTGATATAGTTTGGGTATTGTACTTCTGGCAGCAAACATTCATTGAAACACTGTTATAATTTATTTTAAAGGATAGTCAGTTCAAATGAGTGATTTGTGAGTAAGAAGGATTTTACTGCAAAAGACAACAAAGGAGAGCACTCATTTGCATGTCATGTAAATAGTGATGAATTGTAAGTCACAAGTATTTTTTTTTCAGGTTTTGCTGGATCTTGTGTAAGAAAATTCAGCACAATGCCATTCCTTTTCTGTGACTTCAATAATGTTTGCAACTATGCCAGTCGCAACGACAAATCTTACTGGCTGTCGACCAGCTCACCTATACCAATGATGCCTGTGGAAGACAGTAGTATACGTCAATATATTTCAAGGTGTGTCTGAAGTTAAAACTCTCTTATATGATTTACTTCTTTGTTTCTTTCCTTATTTAATACCCATACAGGTTTTATATATTATTTAATTCAAAAATGATGAAATGATTTTGAATGATAAATTTAAGTTTATTTTGAGTTTCAATCACTCCATTAGACTGGTATCATGGATGGTGGCCACTCCATCACTTAATCACTTGGTAAAATTAATGTATTAAATATATTAATGCTTTGATCTTCATTTAAAATAATAATATTGCATCCTTATCATTGGTTAGAATAGCTTATACTTTCAATGGAATGTTAGAAGCATAAACTTTCTTGTACCACTGTGCTTTACCATGTCAACAGATGTGTTGTTTGTGAGGCCCCAGCAAATGTAATTGCTGTCCACAGCCAGTCTTTAGGTGTTCCTGACTGTCCACAGGGTTGGTCAGGACTATGGATTGGTTACAGTTTTGTCATGGTAAGTATCAGCAGCAATTTTGTCTGTTTCTTTGTTTAAGGTTTTTATTAATTACTGGGTTACACAGGATGAAATGAGACAAGCAGTGAATTGGGAAGAACATGGAAAGAAGCTATTTATGAGCTATTATAATCCTTTCAGTGCTACTAACTGATACTAACTGAATTTTTAAACAATATTTAGATGAGCTTTGGTTTCAGAATGTTAAAATTAACTTACTATTTTATATGTCCCATGTTTGACATACAACATTCAAAAGTTAAGGTCTAGATAAGTTTGTAACGTTCAAAATTACTTGCATGTGATAAATGTCCCATATTAATTTAAAAAATGTATGCTCCATGTTTTCAGCATACTGCAGCTGGTGCTGAGGGAGGTGGGCAGTCACTTGCAAGTCCAGGATCATGCCTTGAAGACTTCAGAGCCACTCCATTCATCGAATGTAATGGAGCCCGAGGAACGTGCCACTACTTTGCCAACAAGTTCAGTTTCTGGCTTGCAACTATTGAAGAGTCAGATCAGTTCCAAACGCCTCAGAGTCAGACTTTGAAGGCAGGAAGTCTGAGGACGAGAGTTAGTCGTTGTCAAGTCTGCATCAAGAACACATAGGTAGTGGTACATCAGCAAGCCACTCTTGTATCCTACTAGTTGTTTGCCATGCAGACCGTCTTGGGGTTAAGATGTGTGATAACACAAGAAAGAAATGTGTAAAAAATGCAGCCTTCACACATCTGAACTGATTACTCAGAAAAAAGAAGTGAGTGGATGTCCTGCATTTGTGTTCATGCACTGAGATTGTAATGCTAGCCACTTAAGTGATGTGTTCCTCTTCTACTATTATACTGCTTTCTCCAATCTGTATATTGCCTACTGTATTAATTGTGTATGGTCTTGCAAGCAGATGTGTTAAATAGTGTTGTGGTGGCAATAAAATTTAACAAGTATTAACATACGAGACAAGCTGCAATTAAAATGTGAGGTGGTTCCAGATTATGTAGAACAGGAATTCATATTTCTGAACACTGTTTCAGAAGTATGAATTTCTTTCTGTTTTTTTTTTTTTGCAATTGCAAAATTTTGTTGGTGCTATCTTTTTTTTACTTACATGTATAAATTTCCCCTATATTAAAATGTACTGGTGATTTAAACCAGATATTAGAGTTTTTGTGTTTACTACTTAAATCATTTTATGTGGTCTTTACAGTATATGTTTATATATAAATTTGTTAAAAATATTTAATTACACTGTGTCCCATCAATTGAAGTTGATGAAAAATTTCTGTATGGATAGTGCCAATAAGATGTATCAACTTTAAAGCTCTAGTCGAGTGATTATATTACTATTTCATCTTAGTAGTTTCATATCTGTACATTTTCTTCATTTGAACTAGTTTTATGCTTTGAAATAATTTCAAGACATTGCCTTGCATTCCAATCATGGCACACACATGTATAATTTAATATAAGTATACTGTCTGTTATATTCACGCAAACAAATGTATCACTGCCTTCTTCATGTTACACATGATGATCAGAGATTAAGTCTGCTCAGCAACTCTTGTATAGAGATCTGTTAATATACAGTTGCCATATATAAGACACAAAAATGGAGGTTGCATTACTCTGTTCCATGATTTTATTTCATTGAAATATAATTTTAAATTTGGTAGATGATAATGAATTCATCATGACCAAGTGAATTACTTCTGTCATGAAAATTGAAAGGATTATGAATGTAACTAACCCTTACTGGCACTGCCACAATTCTCAGCACTCGTGAGGAATATGAACACATGTGTTATACCCACACAATCTCTCCTAGGTGTAAAGTTGCCTTGTAGATAAGTACATGCTGTGTAACTTCCAATTATGCTTGTGTTAACGATGTGCCAAAATTATGTTAAATTCAACTCTTAAATTTGTGCATTTACCTACAAGGCTGCTGCAAAATTGTAACCTGGTCACTTTATAATTTTAACTGAATCATCTAATGATGGGATGGCCAATAATAAACCATATGCAGGATTTATACCATTGTTCAAAATTTATATCTCCTGCTAATGTCATCATTTAAATCGAACTTTATATTACCATTGAATGTGTTCATTTTTATTTATGAACCAAATCTGCATTTTCTAAACTAGAGGTTATGTATAAGACTCTGAATAATGGTGAAAGTGAGTCAGTGATAAAAGTCTAGTTTATTCGATTTTATATTTTAATAATCATGTCCCGCACAAGTGTTCCTGCCTGGGACAAGAATGGCCCATGGACATACCAATGTTGACCATCCCTGATGTAATGTATTTTGTCAAACTGTATGTTCTTTCTCAAAACACTGCCAATTTGTAACATAGATAAAAAATATATTTAAAAGAATATTATTTTATACTTACAAAACCAGTTCTATGAGAATCATTAAAAATTATCCATATACTTCAGGTCAGTATTTACCTCCATCCACTCCAGCTCCAGATAATATTGCCATCTTTTTTCTCATGAAGGGAACAGCCAATAAAAGGGTCTGATCAGATTTTGTAAAAAGTGGATAATTATTTATGTTTGGAGTGTGTGACTGAAGCACATTTCATTAGACAGCAACTTACAAAGGTCATAAACTTAAAATGAAATGATTTTAAAATTATGTTATTGAAATGTTATTTCACTAATAAAAGAGTTCATATGACACCAGTGAGAGAATAGGAAGAATGTAATTAAGAAAATGAACTCTTGTGTGAACTCCCTCTCTCCTGTAAAAGACTGTTGTGTCATGATTATTGCTTTATGATATGTGGTTCCAGCACTTGGTATCCATTTCACAATATCAAAAGCCATGGCCCACAGCTATACTATAATAAAAATTAATCGTAGATTTGTGTCTGTCAGTATCTAAATTCATTGTCATAATGTGGCAGATTTTCCAAGTAAATCACTTTAAAATACAGTACATTTGAAATATTTGAGAACAGTATTAATCAAAATTAAATTTAATGGAGCAATTAAGAGAAGGTTAAATTTGGGGAGTGCTTGCTCTCATTTCCAGAATCTTTAATTATCTTATTCTACGGGAAGAACATAGGCTGATGTTATATGATAAAGTACTAAAATAAATATTTGGGCCAAAGAGACAGGAGGTAACAGGAGGATGGAGAAAACTGCATAATGAGGAGATTCGCAATTAGTCCGCTTCATGAAGATGAATGTGAGATGTGTGCCGTTTGCAGTATGGTTGAAAGATGTATGAGATGCATACAAAATTTTATTCAGGGAGCTCGATGGGAAGACCACCAGGGTGACTTAGGTGTTGATAGAATAATACTCAAATGGATCTACGATAGTATGTGAGGATGCGAATTGAATTGATGTGGCTGAGGACAGGTGGTACACCTAAGCTTCCTTAGAAGGCAGGGATCTCTTGATTGATTAACTATTACGTTCTCAAAAAGGATTCTGTCTCATGGAGTTATGCTAAAGCACGTATTACTACGTTACAACCGTTTAGCCCATTTCAGCAACAATTTGTTGGCGTAGTCGACTTTATTTTCCTGCTATAGCTGTTTGGAAAATCGATGTTTTTTGAAACAACACAGTAGGCCACGTCTGCATTTATGTTTAAGTACTGCCAGTCATTATTATCAATGAAGCGGTGCTCACTGAAAGTGCTGAAAGGACTATAATCGGGCAGAAAGATCGTGGAAGGTCGAAGACAAGTTTGTGTGTGTTGAGTAGTGTTAATTATTTCGATAAGATTCCATTGATCAAAATATTATGATGAATGTATGAACGGTGTGTAACGGATTTTGATAAGCGTTGGAAATTTTTATTACTGTCCGTATTTCTTTTAATGGTGTTATTTTATCATATGGAAACCCAGTTGTAAATTGGTAGTTTACATTGTGGTCTTTAAAAAGCATTCAGGTGAGTGATTTATGTTTGAGTTAGTATACATAGATGACATTCATCACGACACTCTAAGACACGTGTCATTTATTGTTGAGAGATTGTTGTACAGCACTGATATTTTGTATACATTCTAGGTTACATTACTTTTCATATATTTCACGTTCGAATGGTTGTTGTATGAGTATGTCTTGATCTTAAGAAGTAATTGTTTGTTGTTTTCCTGGTTTCGTCCCTTAATGTAAGTAGTGTATATCACTACAGTCAATGAAATATTTTTAAATTTGTGGTCTTGTGGAAATCGGATACTTATTGAAGGAACATAACCAAAATTTGCCTCATGCATAATTTTATTGTTCTTATAAACACAATTTGTGAACGTTCTTTTAAGTGTTAACAGTGCTATTTTCATTTGGTGAAATTGTTTGAAGCCTTTTGTAAAATCACTTAATAGAATAGACCGAAGTCAAGGTTGACGAACATGTCATAGCACAAATGCAATACTTGTTTGTGATACAAATATAAATTATGTAGTTATGACAGTAATATAAGTAAACTACAGTATTAAAAAAAATAGACAGGAAAGCATACCCACTATTGTTTACAAGTATTTATAATAACTGATAATTTTTGGTTGGGGTAAATTCTTCTGTGGAGTAGGAGTGATATAGGAGATACTCTTCTAGCACTGGCTTAAACTTCTTTATATCCTGATTCAGACTTATTATAGCGGGGGAAGATTATTGATTACTGTAATTCCAGTATAGGAAACTCCTTTTTGTTATTTATTGAGTTTAGTGTTTGGCACATGAAGGTTATATTTGTATCTTGTTTTTATATTATGGATAGCTGAATTTGTTTGAAAGTTTTCTATTTTGTTCATTACAAATTACAACAATAAGAGCAAGAATTTTCTGGGTAGTGGAAGAATATTAAAATTCTTAAACAATTTCCTATATGAGGCTCTCATTTCAAGTCTTGCCATTATTCTAATGATTTTCTTTTGAATGTAAAATATCTTTTTTTACTGTCTGTTGAGTTTCCCAAAAAACAATTACATATGACATGATCAAACGGAAATAAGCAAAGTAGACTACATAAGAAGGGTACCTAAAACTACATAAATGATATGCTGTCAAATTTAATTTATTTTTCTTATACTGGATAACAAATGTTACCTGATACTTTTATCTTGTAAGAGAGTTATGACAAGTGTTAGGAAGTGACATATGTCTGGAGACAGTTACATAATTTGCAGTCATTACCAAACATTATTAAGGGAGTAAAATCAAGGAAGGTAAGATGGACAGGATATATAGTACAGCAGGGACAACTGAGGAATGCATATAGAATTTTAGTTGGGAAACATGAAGGGAAGGGGTTGCTGGGGAGACTAGGCATAACTCTGAGGATAATCCTTATTAGGGTCTTAAATAAATAGCAAGTTGACTCAAGTCTCTTTTGAATATGGTAATTTCATGACTAGTTAAGTAAATATTTACTTCTCAAGAGTTAATAACAAACTTAGGTTGATCCAGAAGGTAATTTTACTTAATTTCCATATTAATTCACTTTTCAGGAAGTATATAGGCTTTTATCTGTTGTAATCATATATGTATACAAGTACTGATAAGAATTAAATTGAGATTGCTTATATGAGGTCATGTGAATGAGAAGTTTAGCAGTGTAAAATGTGGCTTTGTAGGCAAAACTGATATTGACATTTTCTTGAACAATTGATTGAATATTGCTTAAAAGTTATTTTGGTGCATAGATGTTTGTCTTAGTTCATCTACTGTTATTTAGTGTAGAGATTCACTGATTTCAGTTTATGATTATTTTTTGTTTTGTTTTATTAAGCCCATGCAAAATATGAGATCTACATTACAAATTGGCAGAGCAAGACTTTATTTTATTTTAATGGCTTTCCCCCTCCCCCACATTTACTGGTGCTTGAAGAAAGGCCTTAATTGATTTTTTCACAATTTGGTTTTCAGGCAGGTGAGATATCTTTATGCCAGAGTGGCGGGACAAGTGATTAGTGCTGGCATTCATAATTACCTGTTGATTGGAAATCATGCCGCTGTTTGGCAAGTCTCAAAAGAGTCCAGCGGAAGTGGTGAAAGCGCTCAAGGAGGCTGTAAATGCCTTAGAAAGGGGAGATAAAAAGGCTGAAAAGGTAATTTCATTTATGTTGGTGTGTTGATTAAACTTACATATACCGAAATAGAACAGTAATTGAACTTACAACTGAAATAATTTAAAATAAAGAGTTTTGAAATAATTTATTTCAGATCTAGAGATTTGTGAAGTTGATTTATTATTATAGTGATTGTATCATTGAACATTCTCTCGAGATAGTTACATACTTTTTTGTATTCATATAATGGACAATGTCCAAAGTGTATACTACTTAATTTTTATACAGACAAATAAAAATTTAATTGCAAAAACTTCTGTTAATGGACAAATGTGAAATAGGATGTGATGACATGAGTTTGTCAAAACTTATAGTGGAAAACAGCTTATCATATGACATTGAATTTGTTGCAGAAATACTCTTCTATTTAAGGGTTAACAGTTTGTATTGGAAAACTGCTCATGCATACACACTGATCATTACTTATTTAGAATATACCACATACTCTTACAAATTAACATAATTTGTGGTCACCATAATTCCTTTCAGTGTCAAATTATTTTCTTTGCCATTAAGTTATATTTAATGTATATTTATCCATGTATGAGTCCTGCACCGTAGCCGCGCGGTCTGATTCATCTTGCTTCGGACCGGCGATACGGAATGCGCGCAGGTTCGAGTCTTGGGGGAGAAGAAATTTTCTCATGAGCTTTCGACCAATGTATGGGACCGGTGCCAACCCAGTATCGTGAGGAAATTGGGGAGCTATAATGAGTAGCGTAATCCGGTCAGGAAAGCTAGCAATTGCTGGTGGTTCATCATGCTGACCACACGTCACCCTATATCTGGTTGGATGATCGTTCACCTCTGCTTAGGCATGTGAACGTGAGGCCAGCAGTCAAGCTAGTCGGCTTTGGCTCTCTGGAGCTGTTACGCCATGGATTTAATTTAATTTTTATCCATGTATGAAGTTGGTGAACAGGCAGGCACAGAACTGTAACCGGTTATTGAAATTTTAACATTCCCTGATGATTTATTGAGACTTGTATTCACTCTGTGTTGTGCTTTGTGGTTTTCCAGCATTCATTATGTATTAACCTTCTACATATTCAGAGTTACCAGTCATTTTATCCTGAAGGAGACTAATATCTTTAAAACACTGGCAGATCATTGCTCACAACACAGTGGGGCTAGCTCACTATAACACAGTGTCATAACCCAGAAAGATAAAGTTAAAGACTTTTCTAAAAGGTCTGACAGTTACAGATTATTTGTGAAATTGTATTATTTTGAAATATCGATAAAAGAATTATTTGACAATATGGCTATTTTGTACTGTAGGCCCAAGAGGATGTTAGCAAGAACTTGGTTCTGATTAAGAACATGCTATATGGAACATCTGATGCAGAACCTCAGACAGACATCATTGTAGCTCAGTTGGCTCAGGAGCTGTACAATAGCAACCTTCTATTGCTGCTTATTCAGAATCTCAATCGAATTGACTTTGAGGTAAGGGATTTGAAGAAGCTAATGTTCTGTGCTTGCTACCAGAAGAAAAAACTTCCTACCTCTACTTTTACCTTACAGATTTATTTTGATGCATCTGTGCATATGGGATGATTCTTAATTACTTATAATAAATGTATTGATTGTTAACCTGCAGGACTGCAGGAGACAAGGAGAATTACAAGGATGTCTAGTTTTATGATTAGAATTAGATATCTGCTGAATGCAAATTAGGCTTGTTACTGCTCAGTAAACCTGCTTGATAAAATATAAGTGCATTGATTTAAATATTTCTACTACATATGTCTAGCACAGCAGAATATCTAGCAGGGAAGTTTGATTTTGAGGCCTTGGCTTTCACAAGTTTAAGGAAAGTGGAATTGACAATTGACACCACAAGAATTTCTAATTTACCTTAGCTGGGAAGTTGTTAGGTTCTGATTTGGTGATTTTGGAAGTGGGGAATGAGGACAAATAGTTTCGTGGTGGTGGTGGTACATGTGCTTATTACATCCATTCAAAAATGTGATTTCTTGTGTGCAGTAAAAATATGAATAGCTGCAAATGGAGGGAGTGCTAACTAGACACACAAATAACAGACTTTAACACATGTGTTCACTGTGGTCAGTTTTTTATATTTATTTGTGTGTTTATTACTTTACAGGGTAAGAAGGATGTGGCACAAGTTTTTAACAACATCTTGCGGCGTCAGATTGGCACCAGGTCACCTACAGTCGAGTATATCTGCACAAAGCCTGAGATTCTTTTTACGTTAATGGCAGGGTAAGTAGAATGAATGCTATGAAGTAAATATTGGTTGTTACTTAGAAGAAAAGTTTTGACCATGGCAGCTAAGATTTATGTGTTGGGGGGGGGGGGGGGGGGGGAGTAATGCATTTCAATTAAAAAATTTCTAGCCACAGTCTTACTCCCATCAGACTTCCATGTGTGTCTGCATTGCCAGAGGTCAAAGCTTTTCTCCTGAGTAGCAAACAGTATATATATTATTTTTAGTTATAAGATTTTTTTAAATTTAGTTTAATTCAATCATACAAGAAGTATGATTCTGTCATTCTGACTGTGCATTCTGTTTAGATGGGAGAATAATATTAGAATGGATCTTAGGAAATAGGGTTTTGGGGGTGTGGCCTGAAATCATCTAGCTCAGGATAGGGACTGTTAGTTGGCTCTTGTGAACATGATAATGAACTCTCATTTCAATAAGAGATGGAGAAATAATTGACTGGCTCAGAGTACTATTAGCTTCTTAAGGATTCTACTCCACATAGTTCGTTAGCTAGTGTGAGGTGGTTATGCTTCATTATGCTTGTAGAGCAGTTGTTGATGACATAAGCAGCACCAGCTAATTTGTCCTTGAAACATGCAAAATCATTATGTTTGTAATTTAGTTTATAAATATAGCTTGGTTTTGATTATCGGTCATAGCATAATTGCTGAACACTTTTACCTTCAAAGATACATTTCTGTGTGTTAGCCACTTCATCAGACTTGTCATCATGTCATACCCACTTGACTTGTTAAAGTCTGTGGTGTCCGATTCTTTGAAGCCTTGTATTACATTCTTATTTATTTATTTACTCAGTGATCATTCTTGTGCATATGTTTTATTTTCAGGTATGAGCACCAAGAGATTGCACTCAACTGTGGTACTATGCTCAGAGAATGTGCAAGATATGAGGCATTAGCTAAAATTATGCTCTATTCAGATGACTTTTTCAATTTCTTCAGATATGTAGAAGTGTCAACATTTGACATAGCTTCAGATGCCTTTTCAACATTTAAGGTAAGTAGATATAACCTCGCCAGTGTTATAGAATCATAAAATAAATGTTTTATAACCTCATATTCTATTGAGTTTTTACTTTGTTGTCATTGAGATGCCAAAACTGGTTGTATGTACTCACAGGGGTGTTGAGTGATGATTGTGAAAGTAGATGGAAAAATGCTTGAATTTTACAATTTGGACAATATATGTAGGGTGTGCCTGAAATGAAAAAAAGGTTTGCAGAACACTGGTCTAGTTCATAGGGAAATTTGACAGACATATCTTGATGAGCCCATAAGGTGTTGATTGCTCACACTAGAGCATGAACACCTATAATGGAACAGGGAATTCCTGACCAGTTGAATAATTATCTGTTTGAAGAAGATCTGAGAGTATAAAGTTAATTTTTCTTTTATAGTTCTAGTACAGTTGGAGAGCCCTGAAATTCTTATGGAATATTGTTGGAGATTATTACAGATATAATTAAATAATCATGGTATGTGCATGTTACAGGAATTGTTGACACGTCACAAGATACTGTGTGCTGAATTCTTGGAAATAAATTATGATAAGGTATTCTCTCACTATCAGCGACTGCTAAATTCAGAGAATTACGTTACACGTCGCCAGAGCCTAAAACTGCTGGGAGAGTTGCTTTTAGACAGGCATAATTTTACTGTAAGTAATAAGTTGTTCTTCAAAGTTTTTTGCTTGGATGTGACATGTAGTTTATATTGTGTTTTTTTTTTAAAAATTGTGGAGGTTATGTTGTAATGAAGTTACCTAAATGTGTACCCAGAATTATCAAACAGGTCAACTCAGCAGCAACTCGTTTGTATTTGGGAGGTTTCCAGTTATGTCTCAGCTGGTCATCAATTATTCTAACAAAGGCATTTTCATAATGTTCTCAGTCTATCCAATGAATTCCAAAATATCAGCCTGAAATAAACTGTGGCTGCTTCCTTCTCTTTCCTTTTCTATTTCTTGTAAATAATTATCTTGGTGTCTCATTTATTACTAAACAAGTTTGCAATTGATACAGCTTCATTAAATAATGTAAAAGTGAACAAATACTTCATAGTTCTGTTGTTTATTATGTAATTTGTGAAAAGAACAGATAACACACCAGTAGAGCAAACCATTACAGAATTATAGTGAAAAGTAAGTATAATTAGTGACAGATTGTTATGTGTATCTGCTGTGTAGTATTTAGTAACACAGTTCAGTATTTAATTTCTCTTAGCTCTGCTGAAAATGTGTAATCTATTTCAGGTAATGACAAGATACATATCAAATCCAGACAATCTAAAACTGATGATGAATATGCTGAAGGAGAAGTCTCGCAACATACAGTTTGAAGCCTTCCATGTCTTTAAGGTTTGTTGGTAGATCCAACTTTGGATTTTGAAAGGCAGGAAATTATAGGAGAATGGAGAAAATGAGCAAATATGTAATTTTTACTTTTCAGGATGATTAAATCAAGGATTTTGAGATGGATGATGAATGTAGCATATGTGTAGAGATTAGAAATGCATACATTGGTTTTAATCAGGAAATCTAAAGGGAAGAAACTGTTAGGGTGGTCCAGATCTAGATGGGAGAATAATGGTAAAATGGATCCTAAAGAAGCAGGGTGTGAGGTTGTGGACTTGATTAAAATGGATTGGGATAAGTCCATGTGTGTTGTCTTACAAACATGGTAATGAACTTTCTGGTTCCATGAAAGGTTGGAAATTTCTTGGCCAAGGATGTGTCTCTCAGTTTCTCAAGAAGGGCCTTTTTCCACGGAGTTAGGTCTTAAGCAACTATTAGATTTTGCACAGTAGGCTTTCCATTGACATTATATATTGTATTCGACATTATCCATTGTCTGATGTATATTTGATGTATGTGACGTTTGGGGGAGTTGGTTCAAGCAGCCATGTACTTTAAAATAGGTTATGGCCACATCTTCATCCTTTCCATTTTATCATATGTAACCATGCTTTTATCACTTTTGATGTTAAGAAACTAGTACATTTAATACTGCATCAGTAAATAACCCTCACTTAATGTTAACCCTTTCCTGTACCATTTAAATTCATGCTTAAAGAGAGTTTAATTTAAATGTGTCTTAGTATATTGAGTGTGGCAAAGATTATTTCATTTTACTTCATTGTGTTGCATTAGGTGCATCAATATATCAGGATTTATATTCTTTTTTTTTAAATTTCAGGTGTTTGTGGCAAACCCCAACAAACCAAAACCAATCTTAGACATCTTATTGCGAAACCAAGAAAAGCTTGTGGAGTTCCTAACTCGATTTCACACTGATCGATCAGAGGATGAGCAGTTTAATGATGAGAAGGCATATCTAATAAAACAGATTAAGGAACTGAAGCCATTAACTGAACATTAACATCTCTTTTGACAGCCATCAGACTTTAGTGAAAAGAAATATTAAAGTGCATATTAATATTGCAAACAGGAAATACTGCTTCCATTGTCTTGTAAAACAGAGAAACCAGCAGCACTTTGCTTCCAGCTTCAGTTGAGAATGTGATTGGTTATTTATGAATGGTACGAGAGCATTGAATTTTGGGTGTGAAATGTTCTGATTCTCTCATACTGTATATTTACTCACCTGAAGTCATAACTAGTCTCCTTATAATCTGCTGCCACTGCTTCGGAAGCAAACTACTACCGTGATGCATATTCTGTTTTTGTTTGGTATTATTAGACATGATTCCCTGATTTCTTCCACATAAATAATAATGGTGCACAGTATTATGATAAAAGTACAGCACCATGCTTCTGTTTTCTTATTCACTGACAATATGCTATGAGCATTTCAGTTATTATGGGATATATAGTTTAAGACATTTGACTTTTCTATTTTATAATGAGGGTTGATGGTATTAGATAAAGGTTGCGTAATTGAAATATCAGCCATCTCTTACAGCAGGATCTGTGGGTTTATATTCAATTCCTGGGCCAAGAGAAATGTACCAGGTACTGTCAAAGTTAAAATTGCCCATTCCATATGCAATTTTGTCCGACGTGCTTTGTCCTGAAGTTATCCATGCATTGCTGTCTCATATGACTGTGCTATCTTAGAGCACCTTCTGATGATTATATTGTTGAAATAGTGTATGGGTTCAGTTATGTAGATCCTGTGTTTAAATCATGAGTTGGGTTTTAAATGTAAATATCATTGTTATATTTTAACTGTAACATTGTATCATAAACTGAATTTAGAATAATCAAACAAGCTTTTACATAATTTCATTTGTAATCTTTGAGATCAGATTAGAGTTCATATGAAATATTATTTTCTCAGACTCAGCTTTATATAGAATATGTTATGTATTATAAATTAATTTTAATTTGATAATTTCATTACAAAATTATAAATTCAAATAGTTATATTTAATTAAAGCTGGGTATAGGGAGTATAAAATGACATATATCTGTACAGTGCATACAGTATCCACTGTTCTAGACACTTTGATTGATTTCATGCATGTTGGAAAATTAAGGTAATAAAATTTATAAAAGTTTCCTCTGTTACAATACTGAATATTCACATGTAGAGGGGGTCTACTTTTTAACCTAAGCAAAAAAACCAGTTAATGTAAATGTAGTAGGAGTATGAAAATATGCAGAACATGCTGTTTTAATTGACCCTACACACTATAAAATAAGCAGAATCAAGGAAATTGACACTGTCATACAACAGCAGCATGTATATTGTAACTGTGTTCACTTATTGAAGCAGTTTTTCTAATGCTGCACCCAGTTGCCAAAGATGCTACACTCATATAAACGTGGAAAATAAGTGAAAAACACTCTTTATTTATAGCAAATAACTGAGGAACTGTACAAGGTAGTAACTGGGTGCTGCTAGAAAAATGCTGTGTGCCAAATAATACAAGGAAATTGTGACTTATTTGTTTCTTAGATTAATTAATAATTGCATATATTCATTATAGGCATGGATAATTGCATCTGTATAGCCAGTATTCTTGCATGACTAGAATACTGAGGGGTCTGTATGGTGTACTAGGAGTCTTGGGCCATAGGAGAACTGTTATTGTCAAAATATGGAATGGTGTAAAGAGGGAAAAGTTATTGCAAGTCATGTATTTCAAATTTGAAGTTTTTGGACTTTTGCAGTTTTCCTAGTTATATTCACTTAATGTTTCGAGTAGTACTCATATCTCCTTCACTACCACTCTCCCAAAACTGTAAACATCATTCACTGTAATTTAAATGTTTAATTACCATAATTTTTATTAATGGTATAAAGAGTGTAGTGCCTTGTAGTAGATATATAATTCCAATATTTGAGATTGGAGATGCATAATGTGGAACAACCCCTCCCTCTTAATATCAAATTGTATTTGGCCAACTGACTTGAGTTTTCCAATGTCCTGGAATTAATGGGACACTGTGTAGCTAATACCATAGATAGGGAAACATGTAATTGCCAACATTACAGCTACATACAAGGGTGCCAATATACCTAGTCTCATAGACTTGAATAGAGGGGTCCAAGTGGCCAGTTTAATGGACAGTGACAGAGGCCTTTGTTTTGCCAGTATTACAGGCATGGATAGAGGACACTGCATAGTCGTTGAAACAGGCATGGAGGAAGGGGTCCATGTAGAAAGTATAATAGACATGATATAGGTGTCCATTTTGGTAGTACTGCAGGCATAGATATTAGTCTAGTAGCCATTTTAACAGCAGATCAGCACCGACTTTACTTGTCCTCAACAATTTCTAGCATTTATGGATCGTGATATTCTGGATTTTAATGTCTTGTATAAAGAACAATAACGTCATTATTCAGTATGCCGTAAACCACAATATCACTATCGTAGATCTTCAAATTCTAGCATGCATTTCTCCGATATTGGTATTGCCATGCTAAAAATTGGTAGACCTGAATTTCTGGAGTGTTCATTTGAAAACATTCCTGTCCAATAAAAAAGAGGAAATATAGGGCTAGAAGTGAAAATAAACGGATACGTATATATTTTACGATACAATGGTTTTATTAAAAAAGTAAGCAATCTATTGTAAACGGCACAATTCATAAATTAATCTGCAATGATTTTAAATGTTATTGTTCTTATATGTTGGTGACACTGCTCAAGAAATTTCAAACGAAGTTCCTGCTGCTTTCTGAAGGAGTTGCTTGAAACTAAATGAAAATGGCGCCTAGGAAGAATGTGTATAGAGTGAGTAGATTACTGGACAGTGTCAGTGAAAAAGAAAACAATTTCCTCCGTGGTATTTCTTATTTCAAGGCGAAAGTGAGACGTCGAGAGTCTCTTCGAACGTTAAGATGTCTTAAGGTAAGCATAAACAGAAACTGAGTGTGGGTGTGGTTGTGGTACTGGGATATTACTATGACATTTGCATTTGTTTCATTGCAATATTTCTTAAATAGTGATGTTTATGATGTCAGCATTTGCCATCTGGGCGTGACAGTGTTTCAAGGGATGTTGCTGTTTTGACAGTTGTGTGTGAAACATTATGTTATATATACAAATAAAACGAAAATGAATAAGTTTACGTTAAGTTTAATGTGTTGCCTAAGTAACTGCAGTTGCATTTGTTATTACATGTTGCTATTAATAACTTCATATGTCATAACATGACATACTCGTTATGATATACGGTGTAAAATGAGGTGATAATGGATATTTGCAGAACACAGCATAATAAAACCATTTGTAATGGCACCATTCTCTTGCTACACAGACTTACTTCAGATAGAACTAAAACTAATAAATTATGCTGATGATTATTTCCTTTACAAATGTATG